AGTCTTCCGTGGCACTGGGGTCCTCCAGAGAAGGGCCTGCAGGCACCTCTCCCATGATAACAGCAATAATGAAAATTCCCTGGGCATTTGTCAGGTCTGAGCCTGGCATACGACTCGCCCCAGGCGAGCCCACGCAATCCTTGCCACCGGGAAGTGGGTTCGATCACTCTTGTTTTACAGATGAGGAAACTGAGCAAAGCAAAGGTTAAGCACGTTGTCTGAGGTCTCAGTCCCAAGGGGGTAGGAGGTGGGGGAGGGTGTCTGGCTCCCAGCCCAAGACTACAGCCGGGCTGCCTCTCTGCACTGCTCGCTGGCTCGCTCAGAGCCTTGCTGGGAGCATCCTGTCTGGGTGGAAAAGAACGTCATTTCACCAGGGCATTGATGACGACAGTCCCCTCCTGGTATCTCCGTCAAGTAAAGGGCAAAGCTGCATCCGTGGGGTGCCAGCTCTGGGATGGCACTGTGCTTGCCAACATTACCCCAGGGGGCTGTCCCCAAAAGCCCTTCAAGACAGGAATTATCCAAACTGTTTTTTGTATTTTGTTTCTTAAGAGGAGGGAGGAGGGAGCGCCGAGGGCTGGCCTCAGGTGCCCAAGTACACCAGCAGCAGAATCGTTATGGGGACCAGGTCTACGGACCTTCAGATTTCATGCCTTTCCCGACTAAGCCCAGCCCTCTGCAGCTAGACAGGTGGCCGGAGACATGGGTAGTGGGTGGGGAGGGGCTGGACTAAGGAACCCAGAGGCGCGGAACCTGGTCCAAGCTGAGGCTTGGCCCTGGCATTTGCCCACTGTGAGCAGGGTCCTCGAGACAAGAGCACCAGCCCCGTGGAAGGACGGTGTGTTCATACGTGCAGAAGTTCCCAACAGCCCCCACACACACACACACACAGTCAGTCTGGTTTGGGCGTCCCCAGGGAGGTATGTCATGTCAAGTTTGGGGTATCTTCCCATGCCCAGGTGATCCAGAAGTTCATGCCCGGAGGGCTCTGTGGTTATGACCGAGACGGCTGTCCTGTGTGGTACGACATCATTGGGCCCCTCGACCCCAAGGGGCTGCTCTTCTCTGCCACCAAGCAGGACCTGCTCAAGACCAAGATGCGGGACTGCGAGCGCATCCTGCACGAATGCGACCTGCAGACTGAGAGGGTGAGGCCCGCCCAGCAAGGGAGGAGGGCTCGACAAGGGGAGTTCTGGCTGACCCTCCTCCGCCTTGCAAAGCCACCTCCCCTCTCGGAGCCTCGGTGTCCTCTCTTCCAATCAGGGCTAATCGTGAAAATGAGTGTGGAGCTTCAATAAGATAATGTTAATAAATGGCTTAGCAGATAAGACTTCACTCGAGGTGGGCAATTATTGCTATTGCCTGTGAGTTTTTGCCTGGATCACCCTACCCACTACCACCTGCAACCTCACTTCGCTCTTTCCTGTTGATTCTTCAGGTTTCAAACTTTGATGTCACCCTCTCTAACCCTCCCATCTGCATTAAGTACCCTTCTCCTGTGTTGTTACAGCCCCTGTGCTGTCCCGTCGCAGTAATTAGCACTGGGCTGGGAGGGCCTGTCACTTTTTAACCTCTCCAACCCTATAAGGATAAGAACTGTGGGGTTTTGAGCTTCACATATTATACTCTCAATTAATAAATATTATTTATACAAGTTGACAGATAAAGGGATAGCTGGCCATATAAATGGATGGATGGAGGGATGCATGAATGGGTGGATGG